GACGTTTTTGGCCTCTTAAGTCTCTCTTGGGGGTTCTTGGCGGCTTCTGAGGCCGTCTGGAGGCCATCGTGACCGACATGGGGCGATTTTCCAGCGACTTGAGGGTTTCTTGGACCGTCTCGGGGGCGTCTCGGAGCCCTGTTGGTGCGCTCCTGGAGCTCTCTGGGAGAGTCGACCGGGATTCAGCCGGGAATTAGCCGGGGATCGGCCGGGGTAGTTTTAGTCTGGAGACCTCCAGGGGCTACCCCGCGCGCGCGAACCGGAAATATCAGGCAGTTACTGGAGATCTTAGCACGCTTCTGGCCCGCAGGGCCGGCGAACCCGCTCCATTTTCGTTCCTCGTCGTCTTCGTGGCACTGGCCCCATGCTGGAGGCCTCCAGGAAGGAGGAGGCGGAGGACGATGACGGGGAGGAGGAGGAGGAGGAGGAGGAGGAGGAGGAGGAAGAGGAGGAGGGATGGTGCGATCTTTCGGCGACTGAAGGGTTTCTTGGATCGTCTCGGGACCGTTTCGGAACAATCTTGAGCTCGCAGAACGGGAGTCACGGCGGGCCCCCCAGATGGGAAAACCCGCACGCAAATTGATTCTGCCGTTGTAGCGCTGGGGCGTCTTGGGGGCCTCATGGAAGGACTCTTGGGGGCCCCTCGGGGCCTCCTTGGGGCCTGTTTGGGGGCTTCCTGGGGCGAGAAGCGCGAAATGTCGGTTCGTGTTTCCCGTCTGGGTTATTGGGGCGTCCTGGTGACGGATCCAGAGCAGGGGTCCCGCGAGAGCCTCTGGCCTCGTCAGCTGCGCGAGCCTCTGGCCGCGCTGTTAGGTATCATTCGGTCGACGGCAAGAGCTCCTGGCCTTGTCATTTGCGTGAGCCTCCGGCAACGCAAGGGTTTTTCATATCTTTTAAAAATATAACAATTGTGTAAGACGAGAGCCTTTGGCCTCGTCAGCTGCGCGAGCCTCTGGCCGCGCTGTTGGGTATCATTCAGTCGACGGCAAGAGCCCCTGGCCTTGTCATTTGCGTGAGCCTCCGGCAACGCAAGGGTTTTTCATATCTTTGAAAAATATAACAATTGTGTAAGACGAGAGCCTTTGGCCTCGTCAGCTGCGCGAGCCTTTGGCCGCGCTGTTGGGTATCATTCAGTCGACGGCAAGAGCCCCTGGCCTTGTCATTTGCGTGAGCCTCTGGCAACGCAAGGATTTTTTCACAAAAAATAACATTTGTGTAAGACTAGAGCCTCTGGCATCGTCAGCTGCGCGAGCCTCTGGCCGCGTAGTTTTTTCCACGCGAGTGCCTCTGGCCTCGTGAAAGGACGCGGGTTTCCGTCGCTCCCCTGCCTTGCGCGCCGCTGGCCGCATGCGCTGGGGTGGGGCCCGCGTCCCTGAAATCAGCCGCAGGTTCCCCAATTCGGTTTTGCGTCGGGGTCCGAGGTACTGCGATCCTGGTGTCTCGGTATTTCGACCTGGGTTCCTTTTCGTCGTGGTCGCTTCGCGCTTTCATCTGATTGGAGTCGCGCCGGGGACATGTGACATCATGCGGCGCTTTTGTGTCATAGCATGGCTATTTTTCTTTTCCTATGGGTTTTCGGTGTGAGGTGGTCGGTGTTGTTCTTTGAGAACATGGTGCGGTGCAGTTGAAAACATTATCAGTATCACCATCATCATCACCATCATCATTGTCTCCTCCTCCTCTGGACCCTGGGTCGCAAAAGACAGACCCTGGACTAGCGCTTTCGGCGCGCCATCTGATCACTTTCGGCTTTTGGGGGTTGGCCGGTTTTGGGCCACGACGGTTCTGGGGCGAAGAGCTGCCGCGCACATTCGTCGTCAAAGTTTGCAACGGTTGCGGGGACGGAGGCCGTACGATCGTCAAAATGGAGCTCTCGCCTTAGCGCCGCGCACATTCGTTTTCAAAGTTTTGCAGCTCCCACGCTTGCGCCCCCTTCCTCGCTCTTCGTCGTCGTGCTCGTCGTCGTGGTGTGTCTGTGTGTGTGTGTGCGTCATCAGCAGTACCGTAGGCGCGGCGCAGCAGTCCTCTTGCAGGGCCTCCTCGGCGGGGGAAGAAAGTCCACGAGTCAGCTTTGCACTTCTGGGGGGAGGGGGGGGAATGAAGGAGGAAAGGAGAGGGAGGAGGAGGAGGAGGAGGAGGTAGGAGGAGGAGGAGGAGAGTGGAGGAGGAGAGTGGAGGAGGAGGATATTGGAGAAGGACAGTGGGGGAGGAGAGTGGAGGAGGAGATTGCAGGAGGAGAGTCGAGGAGAGTGGAGGAGGAGAAAGGAGGGGGAGAGTGGAGGAGGAGAGTGGGGGAGGAGAGTGGAGGAGCAGAGTGGAGGACGAGAGTGGAGGAGGAGAGTGGCGAAGGAGAGTGGGGGATGAGAGTGGAAGAGGAGAGTGGAGGGGGAGAGTGGAGGGGGAGAGTGGGGGAGGAGAGTGGAGGAGGAGGGTGAGGCAGGAGAGTGGAGCAGGAGAGTGGGGGAGGAGAGTAGAAGAGGAGAGTGGAGGAGGAGAGTGGAGGAGGAGAGTGGAGGAGGAGAATGGAAGAGGAGAGTGGGGGAGGAGAGTGGAGGAGGAGAGTGGGGGAGGAGAGTGGAGGAGGAGAGTGAGGGAGGAGAGTGGAGGAGGAGAGTGCGGGAGGAGAGTGGACGAGCAGAGTGGAGGAGGAGAGTGCAGGAGGAGAGTGGAGGAGGAGAATGGGGGAGGAGAGTGGAGGAGGAGAGCGGAGGAGGCGGAGGAGGGGAGGGGAAGGAGGGAGGGGGAGGAGGAGGAGGAGGGAATGGTGGGTTCAGGAGGGGGTGCGGAGTTTTGCAGACCTCCGGGGAGTGCAGACTTCCGGGGAGGCGGCCACCCGGAGGGGTGCGGAGGACGTGAGTGCAGACCTCCGGGGAGTGCAGATTTCCGGGGAGGTGGGGAGTGCAGACCTCCGGGGAGTGCGGAAATCCTCGAGACAAACAGGCCGTTGCAATCGCATTGCATTGCAATCGCATTGCATTGCAATCGCATTGCATTGCAATCGCATTGCGTTGCAATCGCATGGCGTTGCAATCGCATCGCGTTGCATTCGCATTCCATTGCAATCGCATTGCATTGCGTTCGCAATGCGTTGCACTGCAATCTCATTGCATTGCAATCTCCAGAGGAAGGAGGCTGCACTGAAATCGCCGGAGGAAGGAGAGTGCTTGCATTGCAATCGCATTGCAATCGAACTGCACTGCATTCGCGTTGCACTGCAACTTCGCCGCTACGACACATCGGCCAAAATCCAACGCTGTTCTCCCGAACTCATGAGTCAGCCGACAAAGCAGCCAACGAGTGAGCAAACAAGGCAGCCAGCGAAACAACGAGTGGGGAACCAACATGGGCGCGGGTCGTTGGTCGCAGGGTCTGGTCGTGAAATCTGGTTGCGGACGCTGGTCGCGAGCGAGGGTCGCTGGTGCGAGTCGCGGGCTGCGGGTCGCAGGCACGGGTCTGGTCGCGGACGCTAGTCGCGAGCGAGGGTCGCTGGTGCTAGTCGCGGACTGCGGGTCGCAGGCACGGGTCACTTCCGCACAAGGCCGCAGGTTTCACCACAAACCAACCTTGCTTGCCAACGACAGTTCTTTTCTACCACCAGACAACCTTGCTTGCTTGCCAACGACAGCCTCATCCCTCGGCCGCCGCGCCGACCGGGTGGGCGGCCGACAGTCCCGGGCTCCCAGAGACCCCCCCTTGGGGGGGGTGTCTGGGCAGCACAAACTGGGAGCCTGTCCAATTACTTACACTGCGTCACCATGATTTTTCGTCATTGTGCCCACCACGCCCACGTAGCGTGGCGGTGATGGACAGCTTGGCAGCGCTCACCGTTGGAGTGGAAAAAACGGCGTGGGTCAACACTTTCGTAGCGCCGATGTAGTCGGCTCACGCGCTCGCAATTGCAGGGTTGAACACAGATTGATATGATAGATCCAGACTTTTTAATCCAGCAGGTGGTACCACGTTAGTTCGACAATACCCAACATGCCCATGTAGCGGCGGGGATCGCCAGCATCGCAGTGCCCACCATTGGAGTCATCGTTTTGCGGTGTCATAACGGGAGGACGTTACGGGCCAAAACTTTCGGGGTGACGTTGTAGTGATGTCGACGACGATGATATGTTCCGTCACGGCACAACGCATTTGGCCCTAGAATTGCAGAGTTCGTGATTCCCTCGGCCCCGTCGGCGCGCGGGCGGTGATCATGGAACAGCAACGGAATGCGGAATGGGTGCCTGCAAAAAGAAGCAGAGCAGCCAGGAAGCGCAGGGCGGAGGAGCGCATCCAGCAAGAGCAGGCAGAACGTGACGTGTGGCAGAAAGAAGCAGCGTGGGCAACGTCATGGGAGCAACACAAGCCCGTGCTCGCGGAGGTCACGCGCGTGCACCTTGCCCGGCTGACGGAGTGCATGGCCAGGAACCGGCAGGTACTCAACATGAGAGAGACCAGGGACATGGTGTCCGCATTCCTCGCAGATGTTCAGCTCGGATGGTCTCGCCCGGAGCTCCGACCCTACTTCCAGAACGCCATCAGCAACATGTTTTGGCCTGCGGTGGAGGTGCATGACGGGGCGCTTCGTACGGGCGAGGTAACAGAAATCATGTTCCAGCGGGTGCTCAACAAGACCCTTGCCAAGCTCACCGGCGGCCGCGGGAGGGACGAGCACCTGGCCGCAGAAGTGGTCCACTACGGGCACTTCCAACACGTGAAGGTCATCAAGCCTAAGTCACACGGCGACGGGGCAAACCCCAGGGCAGACGGGGGGGGACATGTCCGCCGGTTCGGCCTTATCCACTGCATGCCAGCGATTTCGGATCGGCGGGACTACGTGGAGAATGCTGCAGCATCCGAGGTGATCCATTCGATCGAGTTTGAGATTCACGATGATCGCGTGGCCTGCGGCAATTCCCGCACCCCCGCTGGCTAACATGCTGAGTTTGTTTTTTTTTTCACGCGCGGTGTTTCTCGGGCTGCGGCGTGGTTCCCTCGAAGCCCCCTGGTGGCGCAGTAGGTTTGTTCAACTGAGATGTCAGTTCGCTTGATCTTGTATTGGGCGTTTTAAGAGAGAACGTTTGAAATTGCCATCGCCTGACTATATGCGGGCAGCGGAAGCAGATGTCTCTTACACGAAGGGTGCGCTCGTGAAATTCAACAAAGCCACCCGTGCGAAGTGGGTTTGGGATCGGGATGCGTGGGCCTGGAGGCAAGACGATAAGGAGGTCGCCACTGACGTGGTGGCAGCGTCGCCTTAGGCGGCAAGCTTCGCTGTGCAGGCCATATAGAGGCGACAGGATGGAGAAGGGGTCGGCGGGGACTGCCGGCGGGGAGGCGTGGAATGAGCGGGCGGGGCGGGTGTTTGTTTTGACAGCAGCTCTTCGTTTTCAGCTCAGCTGTTCGGCGAATGCAGTCACTCCTCGCGCTTTGCGCGCTAGCACTGTTGTTTTGGCCGTTTTGGCCGAGGCTTCTCTCGACGTGTTTGCGTTGAAGATGGAGCGGCTGTGACGCGTCATATTGACTTCGGACGAGGAGGAGGAGGACGACGACGAGCCGATGGCCATTGTACAAGTTTTTGGCCGTTTTGGCCGAGGCTTCTCTCGACGTGTTTGCGTTGAAGATGGAGCGGCTGTGACGCGTCATATTGACTTCGGACGAGGAGGAGGAGGACGACGACGAGCCGATGGCCATTGTACAAGTTGGGACATGCGGCGACGGGCGTGGACGGCACGAAAAAGGAAGAGGATGAGGAAGAGGAAGAGGAGGAAGAGGAGGAGGAGGACGAGGAGGAAGAGGATGACGAAGAAGAGGGGAGGAGGAGACGGAGCGGAGTGAGGAGGAGAGGAGGAGGGTGGGGAGAGGAAAAATGAGGAGGTGGGGAGGAAGAGGAGGAAAGAGGGGGGGGGGGGGGGGGGGAGGAGAGGAGGAGGAGGAGGAGGAGGAGGAAGGGGGAGGTGTGGAGGGAGAGAGAGAAAAGCAGGAGGAGGGAGGGGGAGGAGGAGGAGGAGGAGGAAGAGAGGAAGATGAGCTGGAGGAGGAGGAGGAGGATGAGGGGGACAAAGGCCGAGGAGGACGAGGTGGAGCAGGAGGATCAGGAGGAGGAAAAGGAGGAGGAGGAGGAGAAGGAGGAAGAGGACGAGGCGGAGGGCGACGACGACGATGACGAGGAGGACGGAGACGGATGAGGAGGAGTGGGAGGCGCAGGAGGAAGAGGAAAATGAGGAGGATGATGATGATGGTGAGGAGGAGGAAGATGGAGGAGGAGGAGGAGGAGGAGGAGGAAGAGGAGAACGGAGACGGAGAAGGAGGCGGTGAAGGAGGAGGAGCAGGAGGTTGTTCGAGTTCAACACCTTTTCTCTACCGAATTGCCAGCGGTTGGCGGCGGCGGAGGGGGGGTTGGCCGGCGGTTGGCGGCGGCGGCGGCGGAAGAGGAGGAGGGGGAGGAGGAGGAGGAGGAGGAGGAGGAAAAGGAGGATTTTTGGTTACTCGTGGTCTCCGTGGGAAAGAGACAATGGCAGAGGGGGGCCTTGGAACAAAGCCCGTGCCCAAAGTCCTCGTCCTCCCCCCCTCTTCTTCCCCCTCTCCCCCTCCTCCCTCCCCCTCTCTGGCCCCCGGATCGCAACGTACTTGAAGGAGGCTGATCTAGCGAGTTCACAAGCCTGGGGTGGGCGAGTCGCGGGCAGGCAGCAGTTCTTATTGTCACGATTGCTTGAACAACCGAGCTTTCAGCGGTGCCGTTGAAAACATCACTATCATCATCATCGCCATCATCATTGTCTTCTCCCCTTCCGGGCCCTGGGTCGCGAAAAACGGACCCGGGACGAGCTCTCTCGGCGCGTTTCCTCATTGCTTTCGGCTCTTGGGGCGTGGCCGGTTTTGGGTTCCGACGGGTTTGGGGCGAAGAGCTGCCCCCGGGGAACCTCTTCCGTTCAGCGAGAGGGGAGGTGAGCAGGCAGGAGGTAGGGAGGGAGGGAGGATGGGGGGAAGGGGAGGGGTAAGGGGCAAGCTAGGTGCGCTCGCGTCATATCTGACGTCCTACCCCTCCCTCCCATCCCTTACCATGGTGCTGATTTTCTCTATCCGCGGACGCGTGTCGTAGCGGACCTGTGGCTCCGCGCGCGCGTGCGTAGTGGGTGGTGGTGCGCGTGCGTGCGTGCGTGCGTGTGTGCGTGGTTGTGGTGGTGCTGGTGCTGGTGCTGGTGCTGGTGCTGGTGCTGGTGCTGGTGCTGGTGCTGGTGCTGGTGCTGGTGCTGGTGCTGGTGATGGTGCTGGTGCTGGTGCTGGTGCTGGTGCTGGTGCTGGTGCTGGTGCTGGTGCTGGTGCTGGTGCTGGTGCAGGTGCTGGTGCTGGTGCTGGTGCTGGTGCTGGTGCTGGTGCTGGTGCTGGTGCTGGTGCTGCTGGTGCTGCTGGTGCTGCTGGTGGTTGGTGTTGGTGGTGCGGCGCGCGTGGTGGCGAGCGGAATGGGCGCGCGAGAAAGAGGCCCGCGCTGGGGCGAGAAAACGCCAAAATCCTCAACGAGGAGGCCAAACACCGATTCCGAAAAGAAATGAGGGCCACGCTGGAGCGGAGCACGATCGGAACGATTCGATTAGGGAGCAAAAATGAGGCCAGAGGCCGGCCGCCTTCCAGCCGAGGAGCAGCATTTTAGAGAAAAAACGCAAGGCGAAAAAAACCAACTCCGGGGGAATCCTTTAAGCCGTGCCGTGTGTAAAAAAACAGTTACGCGGGGGGGTGGTGAATATCTTTTTCATTTGTTTTTTTTTTTTTTTTTTTTTTTTTTCGGCGCCATCAGGGGAAAGTGGGAGGTATTTTAATATTGATAACATGTGTAATTGTAGAGGAAGGAGGAGGAGGAGGAGGAGGAGGATGAGGAGGAGGAGGAGGAGGAGGAGGAGGAGGATGAGGATGAGGAGGAGGAGGAGGAGGGAAGGAGGAGGAGGCGGAGGAGGAGGAGGATTCAAGCTGGGATTCAATCGGGGCAACGGTGTTGCTGGTCTCAAGGCCCCCGGCTCACGGGGAGACAATTGGGGCCCAGGTTGGGAGATAACGACAGCACGCACGAGGAATCGCCTCTGGCCCCCCACCGGAGGAAAAAAAACGCACCCCAATGAGGGGCAAAGTCTCGTGGGTGCATCCTGGGAATTAGATGGGGCAGGGCCAGGCTCGCTTGGCGGGCCAGCGCCGCTCGCATCAGACTGCCTACGACGGGCACGGGCAGCCACTTCTTCGCGAGCCTGCATCGCCATCTTAACGGCCGGAGGAGGAGGAGGAGGAGGAGGAGGAGGAGGAGGAGGAGGAACAGGAGGAGCAGGAGGAACTGCAGTCGACTGGCCTATCTGCCTGCGGGCTGCCCGGGGGGCGGACGACTTCATCGCGGGCGTTCATGGTTGAATGCCGCCAGCGGCCCAGGATCGTCCGATATCGAGCGGTCTGCTTTTCGTAACGCCGCCGATCGTCCTCAAGACTGGTCAATCCACGCGGCGTCGGTGAGCAGCACAGACGTCGTCACGACCCTGAGTTTCGAACTGGCTGGGCCACCGTGCGCGCGACATCTGGAGGTTGCGTGGATCTCTCAGGCGGAGGTGCCATTTCGGACGCCACGGTTCCGATGATGTCTCAAGCGCAATTGGATTGATCCTCCAGTGCGTGGATTTTCCGAGCTGAAAGTTGCGAGGACGTCTCAGGCGAGAGTGGCTGGACATTTCAGCGCAGGGCATCTCCGAATTCACAGTTGTGTGGATGTCTCAGTAGACCGCGGCCAGACCACTGCAGTTCAGGGCATCTCAGACTCCAGCGTGGCGACGGAGTCTGAGGCGAAAATGGCCGGACCACCTCTCTCGTGGCATGTCTGCGAGGATCTTTCATTCGAGACAGGCCGGACGACTTGGGGTGGGGGCATATGTACATATCGGAGCCTGGAGTTGCGAGGATGTCTGAGGCGAAATTGCCCAGACCACCATGGGCCAGGGCACATTCGAGGTTCAAATTGCGAAGATGTGTCAGGCGAAGGCGGCCTTGCATCGCGCGTCCCCCAGAGGAGCAAAACGAGGAGGACCAGGTGCAGAGAGGAGGAGGAGGAGTAGGATGGAGGAGGAAGAGGATGGAGGAGTGAGGACGAGGACGAGGAGATGGCCAGGCAAGTGTGGCCTCAGACTCCCTGTCAACATTGGTTTCGCAACGGCCATTTCCCCCTCAGGCATTCTCGCAACTCTGAGTTGTTGCGTGGATCTCTCAGGCGGATGTGTCATCTCGGCAGCCACGGTTCCGATGATGTCTCAGCGCATTTGGCTTGACACTCTAGTGCGTGGCGTTTCCGAGCTGAAAGTTGCGAGGATATCTCAGGCGAGAGTGGCTGAATGTTTCAGCGCAGGCCATATCCGAGTTCACAGTTGTGTGGATGCTTCAGTTGGCCTGACACTCTAGACCGCGGCGTTCCCGAGCTGACAGTTTCGAGGACGTCTCAGGCGAGAGTGGTTGACCATTTCAGCGCAGGGCATCTCCGAGTTCACAGTTGTGTGGATGTCTCAGTCGACCGCGGCCAGACCACTGCAGTTCAGGGCATCTCAGACTCCAGCGTGGCGACGGAGTCTGAGGCGAAAGTGGCCGGACCACCTCTCTCGTGGCATGTCTGCGAGGATCTTTCAGTCGAGACAGGCCGGACGAGCTGAGGTGGGGGCATATGTACATATCGGAGCTCGGTGTTGCGAGGATGTCTGAAGCGAAATTGCCCAGACCACCATGGGCCAGGGCACATTCGAGGTTCAAGTTGCGAGGATGTGTCAGGCGAAAGCGGCCTTGCATTGCATCGCCCAGTGTTGCGTGGTTGTCTCAGGCGAAGGTGGCCCAACCGCCATGAAATGAAGCATATCCGAAGTCAGAGTTGTGGTTGCGGTTGTAGTATTGCCGCAGGTGCTGTTATATCATTATATCATGAAGAGAATCCCGAAGCACGCTTCAGGTTGTAGCTATAGGTATACGTGTACGGTTGTTATGAGGAACTCCAGTTATCTGGACGCTTCAGTCGGTATTTTCGGCGTCTGGGGGCCCTCGGCGGGCCCCTGGGGCCGCCAAAGAAACGACTCTGGACGAACAGTCGGCCCCGGGGAAGGCGTTGAGAGGCCTGGGGGCCGCGTATTGAAACAAACTCGACTTCGGATGGCGCGCATAGTACAGTCATCAATCCCACCAAGCCAGGTAGCAGTTGGTTGGGATTGCAATGCATTGTATCAACAACATGTTTTTAGCCCAATAGAAACCTGTTGGCGCCAGGGACAGCAGTAGCGATTACAGGTAACAGAATGGGTGCCTTTTCCCATTGTAGGAAACTGAGCCCTGGGAAATACGGGGTTGGAGAGGGGCGAGCCCTGTAGGGGCTGAGGCTGACCCAGGGTTGCAAACAAGCTTGTAAAAGGTTCCGAGGTACCTTCCCAAGAATCCAAGAGAGCTTCCACCGGCTTCGTCGGTCCATGGAGGTCTGCGCAGAGAAGCTAGACAGACCAGCAGATGAGAACTCCAGAGAAGCTAGACAGATAAGCTGAACAGAGAAGCCAAACAAAGC